CTCTTCTACTCGAGCCTCGTCTCGTGTGCCTCCTCGTGGGCGACATGGCGAGTGAGCCTCGCCTCGCTCCTCTTCTGCTCGAGCCTCGTCTCGTGTGCCGCCTCGCGGGCGGCATGGCGAGCGAGCCTCAGCTCGCTCCTCTTCTACTCGAGCCTCGTCTCGTGTGCCTCCTCGTGGGCGGCGTGGCGAGCGAGCCTCGCCTCCCTCCTCTTCTACTCGAGCCTCGTCTCGTGTGCCTCCTCGTGGGCGGCGTGGTGGGCGGCCAGCTGTCACTGCTGCCTTCCCTCTCGAGTGAGCCTCGCCTCGCTCCTCTTCTACTCGAGCCTCGTCTCGTGTGCCTCCTCGTGGGCGACATGGCGAGTGAGCCTCGCCTCGCTCCTCTTCTACTCGAGCCTCGTATCGTGTGCCGCCTCGCGGGCGGCATGGCGAGCGAGCCTCAGCTCGCTCCTCTTCTACTCGAGCCTCGTCTCGTGTGCCTCCTCGTGGGCGGCGTGGCGAGCGAGCCTCGCCTCCCTCCTCTTCTACTCGAGCCTCGTCTCGTGTGCCTCCTCGTGGGCGGCGTGGTGGGCGGCCAGCTGTCACTGCTGCCTTCCCTCTCGAGTGAGCCTCGCCTCGCTCCTCTTCTACTCGAGCCTCGTCTCGTGTGCCTCCTCGTGGGCGACATGGCGAGTGAGCCTCGCCTCGCTCCTCTTCTACTCGAGCCTCGTCTCGTGTGCCTCCTCGTGGGCAGCGTGGCGTGCGGCCAGCTGTCACAGCTGCCTTCCCTCTCGAGTGAGCCTCGCCTCGCTCCTCTTCTACTCGAGCCTCGTCTCGTGTGCCTCCTCGTGGGCGGCGTGGTGGGCGGCCAGCTGTCACAGCTGCCTTCCCTCTCGAGTGAGCCTCGCCTTGCTCCTCTTCTACCCGAGCCTCGTCTTTGGGCTTTCCCCCTCGCCGCCTCGACGGCGGCGTGGAGTGACTGTCGGCTCTCGGCCGCCGCCTCCGCCTCTCTCTAGGCTTCTCCCTCACCGCCTCGACGGCGGCGCGGAGTGACGGTCGGCTCTCGGCTGTCGCCTCCGCCTCTTTCTAGGCTTTTCCCTCGCCGCCTCGACGGCGGCGTGGAGTGACGGTCGGCTCTCGGCCGCCGCCTCCGCCTCTCTCTGGGCTTCTCCCTCGGGCTTCTCCCTCTCCGCCTTGTCGGCGGCACGGAGTGACGGTCGGCTCTCGGCTGCCGCCTCCGCCTCTCTCTAGGCTTCTCCCTCGCCGCCTCGTCGGCGGCGCGGAGTGGTGGTCGGCTCTCGGCTGCCGCCTCCGCCTCTCTCTAGGCTTCTCCCTCGCCGCCTCGACGGCGGCGCGGAGTGACGGTCGGCTCTCGGCTGTCGCCTCCGCCTTTCTCTAGGCTTCTCCCTCGCCGCCTCGACGGCGGTGCGGAGTGGTGGCCGGCTCTCGGCTGCCGCCACCGCCTCCTTCTAGGCTTCTCCCTCGCCGCCTCGAGGGCGGCGCGGAGTGACGGTCGGCTCTCGGCTGCCGCCTCCGCCTCTCTCTAGGCTTCTCCCTCGCCGCCACGACGGCGGCGCGGAGTGACGGGCGGCTCTCGGCTGTCGCCTCCGCCTCTCTCTAGGCTTCTCCCTCGCCGCCTCGACGGCGGCGCGGAGTGGTGGTCGGCTCTCGGCTGCCGCCTCCGCCTCTCTCTAGGCTTCTCCCTCTCCGCCTCGACGGCGGCGCGGAGTGACGGTCGGCTCTCGGCCGCCGCCTCCGCCTCTCTCTGGGCTTCTCCCTCGGGCTTCTCCCTCGCCACCTCGACGGCGGCGCGGAGTGACGGTCGGCTCTCGGCTGCCGCCTCCGCTTCTCTCTAGGCTTCTCCCTCGCCGCCTCGACGGCGGCGTGGAGTGACGGTCGGCTCCCGGCCGCCGCCTCCGCCTCTCTCTGGGCTTCTCCCTCGGGCTTCTCCCTCGCCACCTCGACGGCGGCGCGGAGTGGTGGCCGGCTCTCGGCTGCCGCCTCCGCCTCTCTCTAGGCTTCTCCCTCGCCGCCTCGACGGCGGCGCGGAGTGACGGTCGGCTCTCGGCTGTCGCCTCCGCCTCTCTCTAGGCTTCTCCCTCGCCGCCTCGACGGCGGCGCGGAGTGACGGTCGGCTCTCGGCTGTCGCCTCCGCTTCTCTCTAGGCTGTTCCCTCGCCGCCTCAACGGCAGCGCGGAGTGGTGGTCGGCTCTCGGCCGCTGCCTCCGCCTCTCTCTAGGCTTCTCCCTCGCCGCCTCGTCGGCGGCGCGGAGTGGTGGTCGGCTCTCGGCCTTGCCTCCGCCTCTCTCTAGGCTTCTCCCTCGCCGCCTCGTCGGCGGCGCGGAGTGGTGGCCGGCTCTCGGCTGCCGCCTCCGCCTCTCTCTAGGCTTCTCCCTCGCCGCCACGACGGCGGAGCGGAGTGACGGTCGGCTCTCGGCTGTCGCCTCCTCCTCTCTCTGGGCTTCTCCCTCGCCGCCTCGACGGCGGCGCGGAGTGACGGGCGGCTCTCGGCTGTCGCCTCCGCCTCTCTCTAGGCTTCTCCCTCGCCGCCTCGACGGCGGCGCGGAGTCCCGCTCTCGGCTGCCGCCTCCGCCTCTCTCTAGGCTTCTCCCTCTCCGCCTTGTCGGCGGCGCGGAGTGACGGTCGGCTCTCGGCTGTCGCCTCC